AAAAAAAAAAAAAAAAAAAAAAAAAAAAAAAAAAAAAAAAAAAAAAAAAAAAAAAAAAAAAAAAAAAAAAAAAAAAAAAAAAAAAAAAAAAAAGCCTCAATTCAAATTTGAGAAAATATTGCATCCTAGACCACTATGGACCGCGGCGATGAAGTTCTCCCTCTAGAATTGGTGAGAAGCATAGGTCCAGCTACCCGCCTTATTAGGCCTGCCAGAATTGCTACATTCAGTACACGAGCTCAGAGATTGGGAAAGGCATGCTAATGAAGTAACAACTAACAAATAGAGGCAACCCAAATTAGAGTAGAAATAAAGTGTAAAACAAACGAGCGAGGATGAATTGAAGGAACCACACAAGATTTAACGAAAAAGGTTGGCAAAGTCCCACTGTCAGTCGTGAGTCAAGAGCTGTTGGAATCATCCACATCATTATCCTCAACATAGACAACGGCTGGGTGGCCAAGCGTCCTGCAAGATGAATCCTTACGACCATCACAAATATAAACAGCAGGGAAATCAATGAAAAGGATGCGACTACCTTCAAGTTCGTCTTCCCTCCGTTCCGAATCATAATAATGAGCCAGCTTCATTTTGTCTGAGGAATACGCGCTACCTATTCTGTTAAGTGTTTCCAGCTCTAGATTTTTGAGATGCGATGCGAGTATCACAGAGGTCTGTGCGGCATCGTTGAAGCACTTCTGCAAGTGGACAAGGGCATCATGGAAACCAGTTTCCTCGGAATTCTTCAAAAGGAACTTCAGCAGGTCTTGATCCAAAAAATCTTCACATATTTTATCGACAATACGCTTTCGTTGAGCGACCATAGCTTTGCCGAACTCGTCGCTTGGGTTGGAAAAACGGGTCGTCCATAACCTCCAGGGGTGGGCAGCAGATGGGTCAACTGTAGTCACATATTATTTCCTGCTATTTATTTTAGAGGAGATGTCTCACAGGCGCGAATATTCTCATATAGAGCAAAGACCTGGGCTCCAAAGCCAGTTGTATCCATCTTTGGGTTCTCTTTAGTACCAGGATTCGGGACAAGATACCAAAAGGGATTCGTGAAGAATCGGGAAATGCACTCTTTGACAAGAAGAAGCTTCACCATTGTTTCTAGAAAAGCGTCACGTGGAATTTTGGGGAGGCTGGATGCAATGACATCAAGCTCATCCTGTACGCAGTAACCGTCTAGTCGAGAAATAAGCTCCCTCTTCTGCTGAGGGGAGAGCCTACTAGGGTCATCATTGATGTGATTGCCTGCCCAGTTTTCGGCGGAGATAAAGACATCGTCGATAGCATCCGACCATTGGTGCGGAACGCATGACGTCCATTGAACCTCTCGTCTCTTTACTTCATTATCTGTCTTGAGGTATCGGTCGGCGTACATGTTGTTGTTATCCTCGAAGAAGACGGTCTTCAGAGCCTTGTATCGTTCCTTCAGAGTCTTGATTTCTTCCTCCAGGGCCCGAACTCGCTCTGCAGCAATCGAGTCTCGATTAGCGTTTGTCAACGGTTTAGCTGAACCTCTATTCTTATTGCGGCCCGGGCTGGAGCTTTTGGCTTTTGTTGGGGACTTTCTCATGTTCTTTGGTCTGGATGTCGAGGGGGGCGAATCTGGGGCTTTCTAGAGAGCATATCAGCAAGGTGTGTTGGTGTGGCCGGACTTCAATTAAGAGGTGAACATAATAGAAGTACTTTTTCATCCTACCTACCTTCTTGCTCTTGGCAGAGGCTTTCAGCTGTTTACCCGCCATGGAGGAAGGAAGGGGCCTGAGATGATGCGGAAAGGGGAAGCAGCAAAGATTTTGGTAAGGAATAGAGCAATATTCAGGTTTACCTAAATTTTTCAATCCAGGGCCGATATGATAGAAAAACAGTCAGTATTATATGTCACCGGACTCGCAGTGAAAAGATGAGCTGCATAGCTCCTTTATACTTTTCCTTTGTCACAGGACAATGGTAGTTGCCAGCATATCTGCCAGACCCGGTGCCGTTACAGGCCACACTATAAATAGCTGCAATACTAAGTCCGTGCAGGAAAATGCTGCCAATCATATTCTTGAGTAACATATATTAAATAACTAGTACTATCTAGGCCGAGTAGGCCCCAATATGACATATTTTCTACTTTTCTTCACCCTTTGTCTACCCCGGGTAAACAGAAACATAACAAAAAGAGTAGAAACCCCGAACAGACCGCGACCACGGGACTGGTTAAGAAAACAACATAAACCAGTGGTCAAGCAAGAGCTAATCTAACTATTTCTGACCACATCCTCAACATAGACAACAGCTTTCTGTTGGACATCTCTATACAAGGGATCCCTAGAATCTCCGCAAAGATACATGGCAGGAAACTCCAAGAAGAGGATACGGCGGCCATCAAAACAAGGTTCCTTCGTAGCCCCTCCGTAATCCTCGGCCAAATCTATCTCCGCCGAAGGGTGATGAAAGACAGGATCCAGGGTATCGAGAAATCTAAATTCCAAATACTGAAGTTGGCATGAAATTTTCACCGAGAGTTCAGCGGCTGACCTGAAGAACTTTTGCAGGTCGATACGGGCTCTATCCAGAACACTTTTATCCGTACTTCTGAGGAGCGATTTTACTAGCACTTGACCCAAGATTTCCTCGCATATTCTGTCAGCCACGGAGTCTCGATAAGCGATCATGTCATATCCGAATTTGTGATCTGGGTGAGAAAAACGAGTGGTCCATAAGCGCCAAAGTTGGGCAGCCGCTGGATCAGCTAATGGAAAGATCAGCTATGAGTGGCAAAGCTCAGGATCTGAAAGGGGTACCTAAGTTTCCTTACATTCGCGCATTCTCTCATAAAGATTGAATATCTGGGCTCCAAATACCGGTGCGTTTGTTGGCAACTTCCCCTTATCGTCCGCATCGCCCCCACACTCAGGATCCGGAACGAGGTACCAGAAAGGATTCGTAAAAAACCTGGAAATGCATTCTTTGACAAGCAAAAGATAGACAAATTGTGTTAGACACATATTATGCAAGCTTCGGGGAAGACTAGATACGATGGTGTCGAAGTCATTCTGGATGCAGTATCCATCAAGGCTAGAGACAAGGTCTCTCTTCTGCTCCACGGAAAGATTGGCATGTTCACGTTCGGCGTAATTACGTGCCCAGTCAAGAGCCATGCCAAAGGCGTGCTGAATCTCTTCTGGCCACTGTCTCGGATACGTCTGCTCATAGTCGATGGCTCGGGTACTGTGTAAATCGTAAAAGTTGAGGCTCCTTTCCACGTATTTGTTATTGAAATCCTCAACAGTGATCTGTGGAGTTGGGCCCTTTTCCGGCAGTGTCAATGTCTCTTTTTCTGGATCCTGAGTTTGTTCCACAATCTCCGATACCGGTTTTACGCCTGGTAACAATGTAGTTGATTCCGTCTTTTCGCTTCGAACTGGGCTGCTGCTTCGGGTCCTTGCGCGAGGCTCTCTGTCTTCTTTGCGTCCGGAGGTAGACTGGTGGCTAGCTGGAGCATCGTTCTAGATACCGCAATAGTAGCCCGACGTGTTAGATTGGCCAGGGGCAAACTGGGTGGAGATCCAAACCTTTGCTATCGTTTCCATTTTCGAGGATGTTGACTGTTTCTTCGGCATGGTGTGAGAAGGTAAACGAGCCGCTGCCAGGAGGTAAAGTGGCCAGAAATTTGGAAGAGAAAAGTTATTTGAAGTTATCAGTAGGAGAAGGTAAGAGGGGGGTAGAGATGAGTCAGGTCTTTTGGTAGGTTGAAAGGGTTCTTTGTCCGTCTCCTTTATTGTAGAGCGAGGTATGGGCTTACCAGCATCCTCTGCGGGAGCCAATTGCTCTTAGGCGTGGCAAAGCTGCCGTAGCCGTAGATCTGGTTTACACACACACACACACACACACACACACACACACACACCACTTCTTTCAACATACACCCTCAGAGCCCTGAGAAAGTACCATGCAGAATATGCTACCAATCACCACAAAACAAAGCTAGGCCAGTACACATTACATAAACTGGCGGGATCTTTGATTCACAAAAACAAAAAAAAAAAAAAAAAAAAAAAAAAAAAAAAAAAAAAAAAAAAAAAAAAAAAAAAAAAAAAAAAAAAAAAAAAAAAAAAAAAAAAAAAGACGGAAAATGGACAGAAGACATAATTTTCGGTACTGGGTTTTTCGCACGATTTGCTTTCAAGGCTTCATCACTTTCTCTGCCCAAGTCTAAATTTAGGCAGTGCTCCCTCTGGCGGTCGGATTGGTGCGAACAGTGATCACCCGAAAGCTGCGTTCGTAACAGGAGGAAGGGAGCACGGAACAAACAAAGGTAATAATAGACAAGAAGAGCCATCGCCGCTTCAAACCTTGTTACCGTCCCAGTGAAACCTCCAGTCCAATTAGGAAGGCCATTAGGGTTCAGGAAAGTAAAGCATCGCTGGGACAGTGTCATCCCTGCCTCTTGTGAAAGATTTTTCGCTCTAGAGAATTCATGGCCGAAGTAATTCCAAACCCGAGCGTGATATTGATATCCTATACCTAACACAGACAGTTAACACCTGGCCACGGCACGGCAGTCCGACCGAGCGGGAAGCGAAGGTACCATAAAAGTTTGCCTATGGCATTGAAGACAATGTGGACCGTGATAGTTGGGCTTTCGAAGTGTCGGAAGACACGACATCCTGCTCATGGACTAAACTTGTCTTAGAGGCCAACGCAAATGGACTTGTGCCCGGTCAGGGTGGCCTAGGAAATGATGTCTTCCATGTCCCTAGAGAGAAGCAGGCTAATTCCGTCGTAAACTGAAAGTATAACCGGGACGGGATTTGTACTCTAGAGTGGTATACATTACTTGTTTGCTGCTGTTCTTCGGGTTTTCGGTAAAAAAGACGGCTTTAGATTTGCGCTTTTGAACGTCAATAGCTAGAGACTAAAGGTGATGGGCCTGGACCTGGGAATGATATCGACTACTCGTAAGGCTCCAGTGTGTCCCCATGGCTGATAATCCGAAACAATGCGCTGAGGTTGATAGTGACGCCTAAAAATAGCCCGTGGTCTTACCGACTGGTGAGCAATCGGGGAATTCCTGAACGACCCGCGATAATGCAGTACTTTCTTCCTACCTTTCTAGTTGCAGATCTACCGGATGTGGCTTTCAACAGGTTGTACAAGAATCGTTGACTTGATGCTTTATTTGATAACATTGGGCAACCACACCCTGTTGAACGGTGTGGGAGCCATGGATGCCCAAGTGGCGTGTGATGAAGCTTAGAAGAGGAGTAACGCCATAGAAAGATTGGGAGCTGGTAATTGTTTGAACCTGAGTTTTGTGGTTAAGTTTCTACATGAGTTTCCGCTAGCTGGCCAACAAGCAAAGGCACCCCACTCTTGGTATTCTGTGGGACGCTGCTCTGAGCTTATAATTCCCAGTTTGGACCATTCGTACCGTACGGCATTTGTGTCGCTAACGGGCGTACTTGTTAAATTTCTCTTGAGGGCAGCATTCCAAGTTTTGCGGGTGAGGTAGAGCGACATGCGCGTGGCAGTCAGATATTCCGTATACCACTGTCACTAGACCCGCCGAATCTTATCATTGGAGCTATTGTGTCATACCAGCTATACACTATCCCATCAGCAAGGCTTCTCTTTGAGTACTTTAGTTGTAAAGCTATATGACATACCACCAACGAGACTGTAATACGTACTCCCGCACTAGATTACCGGTCGGAGGTACTGTGTAGCTTGACCCCAGGATGACCGAGATTCCACCATCTCCAAGCACACCCATTCATGATTTCTGCCCTGCTTAACACATCATCTGCAACCATGCGCATCTTTCAAAGAGACCCAGGTAGCTCTTGCAGCGAGACTTGAATCTATACTTCATGAGATTTCACACCCCCACCTTGATAGGTGGGGGTACCCATTCTTGGACAGAAAGGCTGTATATAATGCCAGGCAGTCAGTCATTAACGCTATCAGGGTACTTGTAACTTGATTGACTGGCGTCATCAGACAGTCATTCGAAAGAACTCTGCCTTCAAGCCCTTTCCCGATACCCCAGGAATCGGCAACTCATCAGTAGGTGCACCCATGATTGATACAAGTCCTTTATACGGCAAAGTCTGACTCAATTGCAGTGCCTTCCACCGACACCGAAGAAATCTCTACCCTCCTCCATGCTTACGGCGAAGCTCTGAAAAGCCGGAATGTGGACGAAGCAGTTGCCCTTTACACAGAAGATGGAGTCATCATGCCGCCGCATTTCTCGGCCAGTACAGGGACAGAGGCTCTACGCGACTCATATACACGAATCTTTGCAACCATCCAGCTCGTTATCAATTTCCAGATTGAGGAGATCGTTATCATGTCTCCGGAGTGGGCTTTCGCCAGGACGACGGCTGAGGGAACGAAGACGATACTTGCCACCCAGGAGTCAGAGTCACATGCGAATCAGGAATTGTTCATCTTGAGAAGGAAGAATGGAAAGTGGCTCATTGCTAGATATGCCTTTTCTAGTATGAAGCCGTTGGTGCAGAATGGGATCCGACGGAGTTAACAATTTGGGTTTGCTGTTGGTGTGTCGGAGGTGGATGGTGATACTTGTGATGGGCTTGGAAATTCACAGTCTTTCGAGCCATAGCATTTTACAAGAGAGGATCTTTTCTTTTTATTGTCAGTACTTCCTTATCATTTCAGAATGAACGCTTTCGTTCGTATACAATAGAAAAGCAAGAGAGACGGTGCTGGTACTAGTGTAGATTATTCCCCTGCTTTTTCGAAGTAGATAATCATTGCTCGGGGCAATGTTGCTCTGAACTTGATTTAATTAGCCGGCCCGGTATCTTTCAAGTACGGTCTTTCTTTCCTTTGCTACCCTTCAAAGTGTACATAGGAGAGTTTCTCTGCCTAGCTCACTTGTATCTGCACTAACGCACACAAATACTGGTGCTAGCATTGTTCATAGATATATTATCACCATCTGACATATTTTGCAGCGCAGTCGGGCAGACGGTGCTGCATTGGTATCGCCATCATCCATCCGCGATCTGATATATATAGCAGTGGCTGAGAAAATTTTAACAGGACCTCGGTACAACAACATTGCATGGCCCGCCTGAAAATCGACAGTAGTAATCGAGAATCCTCCAGGCCATCCTGTATATGGGCACACAAGGTTTTCAGATTTGTGGCTATAACTAGGGAGGATAGTTAAACGACTCGACTATATAACCCAATTGCTGTAACTCTAGATGCCAAGTTGGTGTAGTTACAGCGAAAGGGATATGTAGTTAAATCCCTGACTCCTCCTCCATCGAAGACCCCCGATGGTCTAGTTGGTTCATGGCGTTCGGCTGTAATGGGTATAATTGTAACCGAAAAGTCACCAGTTCGATTCTGGTTCGGGGGAATTAATCTTTTTTTTCTATTTTTTTTCTTGGCTTCGCAGTCATAAGAGAGGCCCTTTTAACCTGCACCTGCACCTAACTAACTACTTGGAACGTGATAATGATTCCAAGCATTGCCCCATAACTACCGGTATCTCCGAGATCAACATTTGCCATAGTTGTCTCTTCTTCACCCCCAACACAATAGCAGTTACCAACACTCCCGCTGAAGTAGCACAGCATGCAAAATTACACAGACTCCGTTTAGCTCTCGGATGCACCAGATCTTCGATATGCTTCCGAAAAGCTGCCGGATTGTTCGTGTTTGGGAACGGCTCATCGGGGATATCTTTGCCCAGAAACTGTAGTCCACAACGTCAACCGTGACACTCTTCCAAGCATCAACACCCCCAAGCTTGACTTACCTCACACAAAGGACCCCATCCATCTTCAACATCCCATTCCAGAAGCCTCTCCTCCGGCACCAACCCTCGAATCATCAACCCATGCTCCTGATATACCCGCTTCCCATGTTTCGTAAGCCCCTCCTTGGTCGTCCGCCCACGAAACATGCCGGGATAGCCGAACGTGTAATACAATCTCCACAGCCAGTACATGTCCGCCGTGAAGATGTGCAAAAACCATACCATCCACTGGTCTTCACCCTCTGCAACTAATGTCTTCATGGCGCTGCGGTGCCAGGCATCTACGTCCTGCCGCGTATTCAAAATCACCTTGGCCTCTGGATACGCCTGGATCATTTCCACGCTGAACATGGCGGCTGCCGTGTCCACCACTGCATCACAATGCCCCAGCAGGGCATCGAACTCATCGCGACTGATTGGGGCCGTGCCTGCCCCTTGCATGCCGGAATATTTTCGCTCGGATAGCTGCGCCCAGCCCTGGGCATATGGCGGTTCGTCGAAGACTATGTCCCAGCCATGGTAGGTTTTGAAGCCCAGTTGGATGAGCGCCCGGCTGAGACTTTCGGTTCCTGACCGTGGTAGGCCTACACAGATCACTTGGAGTGGCTTGGTGCGGATGCGTGGTGGGGGTCGGGGGAAGCCATAAATAGCGCCCCGCAAGGTTTCCATGTTCAATAGATTGAAAAGAATGAGATATAACTGATACCGAAGGGAGAAAGTCTTAAGAACCTATGGCATTTGAAATTGAGTTTCTTTATACTCATCCCTGTCATCCTCATGTATGCTTTCGCTAATTCAATACAGGAAGTGGGCGAAACTGTTGGACCATAATCCCACTAGATTATCCTTCCGAGCACACCTAAATAGCAAGAATCAAGTATTTCTTACAATTTTGATATCAACCTAAAACACCTTGACAACAGAGATTAGGCCTCAAATTGACGTGTTTCCCTTGTTTTTGGCCCCAAAAGACATCGAGGGCTTACGACACAGCGCGTGTGTGATTGGTGAGTATTTAGGGACGGAGGGAATGAAGGGGCGCACTGGCACACTGTCGGGTTGGGCAGATGAAGCTTGATATGCGGCTGAATGAAAGGCTACACGAACCGACCAATGGTTTTTGGCATGACACAAGTAGTATCCACTTGTAGTCCCCACACACTCATGTTTCCTTAGTGGTTCTTCCGACTTTACTCTGTACAGCAGATCCCAAGCATAACACATGGGTTGGTATCTCCCTGCAGCTGTTACCTTTTCAGCTACCATTTCCACAACAGAGTGCCACTTTTTTTGTCCCATAGAGCATCGCCACTCGCGCGCCTTAAGCGAGGAAAGCAAGAGTCGCCTGACGATACGATAGCGTTCAGGACGGATTATGGAAGGATTCTATTAACTCTGCCTCGGTAGAGAGTCACGGAAAAATAACTGACTCGATGTAGCTAACTCGCGTAACGTATTTGAGATCTGATGACTGAACAGACAGGTCACCTGATCTTCTTGTAATCAACTGCAATTTACAGCGTGTTTGATGATGATAATAATCCGAAGACTAGTCAAAGACTATGGCAGCCTTGACAACCGACTTTCTCCTCATCGCATCAAGGCACATCTCCCACTCGCCCAATCTAAATGTCTTGTTGACAATCCCAGACACATTGATCCTCTTACGATCTGTGTATGCAAACATCCATTAGCCACTGGTCCTCCGTACCCCCACTTTATAAAACTTACCAAGATAATCAATGGCAGCTGGAAATTTGTATGTCTGACTGAACGAGCCGAGGACATGAATCTCCTCCTTGAAGATTTTGTTCGGTGACAGCGAGATGCGGCTCTCATCCTTGTAAACCCCATATACCACCAGCTTTCCACCTTTCGTGACAAAGTGTATGGCATTTTCCAGAACCCTTTCGCTGCCCGTCGCTTCCACAACAATATCAAAGCCGTATGGATATTCCCCTCGCAGTTCCTCCAGCCTAGCAGCCGCGGCATTTTCTTCCCGCGGGAGCTCAACAAACTCATCCGCAGCATCTAGCGATTTGGCCAGCTCCATCTTCAACCCGCCCGGTGCAGCAATAACAGTTCGACATCCACCATTCTGGCGAAGAAGCTGAGCTAACATTAGTCCTGTCGGACCGGCGCCGAACAGAAGAACACTGGATCCCATCTGCGGGGCAATTTTGTCCAGCCCATGCGCCGCACAGGCTGCAGGCTCCAGCAAGGTGGCATCGACGTCTGACAGGTTCTTGATTTTGAATACGCGATAGGCCGGGTAGGCAGCGTATTCGGCGAATCCGCCATCGACCATCACACCATGGGCTATAAAGTTCTCGCAGAAGAGCTCTTTGCCTCGACGGCAGTAGTGACAATGTCCGCATAGTTCCGAGTTATCGGCCACCACGCGATCCCCTACTGTGAAGCCGTTGACTTCGGTGCCGAATGCTGCGACGATGCCGACAGTTTCATGGCCGGGTACTAGTGGGAACTTGGGCTGATCAGTTCGAGCTCTTGTTTAGTGGTAGGTGTGTTCCTACTTGGGCTCCAAATTCACCCTCATGGATGTGTAGGTCGGTACCACAGACACCGCAGGCCTTGACTTTGATCTGGAATCTTGTCAGATAATGAGTGTGATTTATGGAATACTTAATACCTACTAAAATATCGTGTGCTTGAACAGTAGGAAGCTTTTTATCAACAATGTTAAATTTCCGTGCTTCGCTATACTCTATGTTTCCGACAGTCATGTCAAATGTCGTGCTTGTTGGCCAGTGAAGAGATGCGACACGTACCTAGTGCCCTCATAGAGCGGGGTAGCTCGAAGGTGTCCAAAGAACTCATGTTAGATTAGAATAATGTGAAAATCGGGTAAGAACTATTTTGAGGGGTAATTATGGGCCCGTATGCTAGCATTCACAGGTGGCTGTTGTATCTGGTCCGAGGAGGTGAACATTTGGAGGAGAGGGCAGCGAACCGCAGACACTCATAGACAAGATACAGTGTTATGGCATCTTCACGATAGCCCCGAGGGACCCTGGGTACTCGATATATTATTGGTATTATTATTCAGTCGTTTTCAGCAGAAATATGATGGGCATGGGCCTTCTATACTTGGGTGGCCCTCGAGACGGGGGCTTGTCGATCGGCCTTACCCCACCCCAGCATAGCACAAATTGTACACGCCTTTCGATGTCCCGATGAATAGCCAAATTGTATCTGTGTAAGGTTGGAACTATGTACCGGCGACATAATATCCGCCGAGCCCTTGCTATGCTTAAGAAGGAGTTGCGTCAGACACAAAAAGAGCACGCCAGTTGGCAGAGAGCTACTGGGAAAAGGAGCGTAATGATAATGATGATCATCAGGATAGTATCACGAGCGACCGATCGAAAGCTCTTTGTAAATTTGGTATTCTTAGGACAATCCTCCCCAACTGTTGTTCAAATAGCTATAATGCGTCATTTATGGTCTACTGGTTAGCTGAGACAAGAGTATGAAGCCAACCGCACTCAATTAAGTATCCTAACCTTCCAAACAAATGAGAAAATATCATAACAAGTAGTACTACATGCGGTAAACTAAGCAAACCAAAAGAGAGTACTTTCTCCTCATATACAGTCGCTTCATCCCACAAACCTGAAGGTCCGTGATTAAGCCGTCACAGCGGTCGCATTCTCCACATGCTGTGCCAATTCAATCACATCACCTTCCTTAGCCCGAATAACATGCTCATCTCGAACCTGGTATCTCTCAGGACGTTTGCGAGAAATTGCTTCCCTATCGAAGCAGACAAAAAGTGGAGGATTCCCACGATAGTACTCATCCATGTCCTCCAAGGTGCGCCCTGCTGTCTCAGGATAAAAGACGTAAATAACAGGAACCATTGCTGCATTCAACACAATCCAAATCATATAGAACCGCCAACCAAGGTGTTGTATTCCAATGGGTGTGATTTCGACGACCATGAAATTGAAAATCCAGTTCGTAGCTGCTCCAAGTGCGGCGCCCTTGGTCCGCATAGTGAGGGAGTTGATCTCTGTAGGGTACACTGTATTGATCATTAGTGGACAGTCTGCAGTTTAGTCGGAATATAGGGTTCAAACATACACCATGGCACTCCTTGCATGCCAATACCAAAGAATACATAGTACAAGAAGAAGAAAGCAACAGATGCAGACGCCACTTCATGTTGATGTGAGTAGCCGGGCATCTCATTATACCGAATAAGAGCAGTAATGAAGATATAGCAGAGACATTGGCCCGTGGCACCAAACATCAAAAGGGCTCGACGGCCCCATCGCTCAACATTCGGGATACCGATCATCGAAAAACATAAGTACTGAACACTATTGCAAGCAGTTAAGAGTCTCGCTAACGACTCACTCATACCGACAGATTTGGTCAAAACTGTAGGAAGATAGAAGGATGAGACATTGATCCCCGAGAACTGTTGCATCGCTTGAGCTCCCATGCCAAGGATAAGCCTGCGGATGGTTTTTGTGCCTGACCGTTCATGGGCGCGTCCCCGCAGTATGTCACTGAAGTTGACACTGTTTTCTCGTTCATATTTCACACTGTACTGAATCTCGCTGGTTTGGAATTGAACGAAGGGGTCGTTTGTGGCCTTGTTCTCCAGGTCTGCGATGATCTGGACGGCCGTTTCTTCTTGGCCGTGGGCAATAAGCCACCTAGGAATGTAAGCACACACCACTAAAGAACATATTTAACATACCTGGGGGACTCAGGCAGCCATGGAACTGTAAGAGCGAGTACTATGATGAAGATGAATTGGAACGACAGGGGAAAGCGCCAGGAAACAGGACCACTGGCGAACGACAGTCCGTAATTGAGCCAATTGGCTAGTGAAAACCCTACAAGGACAAGGACATTCTCGAGGATAACCAACTTTCCTCGCCAATGCACATTTGAGGTCTCAACTTGCCAAATGGGCGCAGTCGATGTGTTCAGTCCTGGGTGATAAAGATGGTCAGCGTTCATGCTCCTCTACCTATGAAAGAGGAGATACCGTTGCCAATTCCAGCAATGACTCGACCTGTCATCATTTGGCCCACACTGTATGAGGATGCTTGCAACACGGCACCGATTGCCATGACAGTCGTTCCAACGAGAACCGTCTTCCGACGCCCCAACCGCTCACCAAGCCAGTATGCACAGATGGATCCGAGGAAGCAGCCAACATCGTAGATCGCGGTGACAGTGCCAAGAAGACTGGTCTTAGAGGGACCTTCAAGATTGTGTAATTGGAGAAAATCCTGGGATATCACCACTCCGCTGAAAACTCCCTGTATTGGGATCAGTCATGCATCCCAGGAACCGGGACCAGTTACTGACCTGATCATATCCATACAAAGTCATGTCAGCACCACAAGCTAGAGTGATCCAAAAGGTTAACCACCCCCCTCGAAGGCCGAAATACGGCGTCTTGGACTTGAGCATTTTTAATTTAGATGGTCTGAGGTCATCCATTGTGTCAAACACTGGTCGGCTTGAAGGTCACGGCCGTAATATAGTATTCTTTCACATTATCTCCATACCCCGGATATGCGGCAATCGGCGGTAACCATCATATCAATAGCACAAAACATTATTACTATCACACCACTCATATCAATTAGCGTCATCACTGCTATAGTAACACCGAGGAGTATACAGTGAAGGTTTTGTCGATCCCATAGGACGCGGGGTAATGCGGGGGATCACGTGAAATCGGCAGGGAATGAGGATGGAATGGATCGACATTCCGGATGTGTCCCCGAGACGGGGACAAGCATCTCGACATGAGCCAGAATGAATCCAGCTTATGATCCAGATGGACTTTGTGATGCATGGAATTATGAAATTTCCAACATGGCTTCTCAATTACCCTATCGGCGGCCACGCATGCGCAAGTCTCGCGGCCGCGGGTTGCGGACCAAAAATGGATGGTAAGTGACCCGTGCCGAACAAGCGGTACATGGCTTAATATAGTGGACGCAGCATTACCTGTCGTAAGCGACATCTGAAGTGTGATGAAATCAAGCCCATTTGCGGCCCATGCGTCAAGAAAGACAAGACTTGTGAATATCCGGCGTCAGGCCGTCGCAGTAATGACAGCCCAGCATTCGAGCGGGCCATTGCCGATGCTGTTCCGGTGTCAGGCCAAGAGCCAACAGCATCCCCGGGACAAGCCAGCGCTCATGTATTGAATAACCCCACCCCGGAGATAGCATCTTTCGAACGACATGAGCCACCGGGTGTGGGCTGGAGCTGTTCAGATGCAGACACCAATCCCCCTCCGCCAACGGTCCTGGATCAATTGTCTACCGGTCAGAGCCCCATTGCCTTTCAGCATAACTATCTGTCTCCCTCAAATGCGTCTTTTGCGGCAGTAAGATGGTTTGGGCTATTAGCGAGTGATGCTGCAAGGGACAGCCCACAGCTGCCCTCTATAGAGAATTCCCATGGAACTCAAAGCCAGTCAGTCGATCACTTGAGAATTGATGGTCTGAGTCAGCCCTATTCGCTACAATACGCGACACAGGTGCTTGATAGTACCCTTGATTCCGGCGCGAGCAATGGTCCAACAGGTCATCAAGAAGGTAGTGCCGTAGAAGAAGAACTAATTTGGCAGTCACGGGAGGCAATAGAGCTTCTGCCTACCGAACATGCTCTGTTCGAACACTTTATCAATCAAGTAAGCACATGGGTATGTATCTATCGGACCATACGGGATCGGCATTCGCAGTCTAATTTATCTCTAATAGCTGGACCTTTTCGATCCAACCAGCCAATTTTCCACATTTGTTGCGCATCTTGCAGTGAGTTCCCTCCTTCCCCTTCCTACTCTCCAAAGATAAACATGCTCCTAAGCTGACGAGGGATGAAGATATATAATGCGGGACTCATGAATGCCATACTCGCCCTCGCATTCCGACATTTAGCACTGAACCCCGGCCTGGACCAGGAGAATATGCCGAACAAAGAAGCCGCAGCTCTGCAGTACTACTATCAAACACTACACTACGTCCAGCGAGCCATGCGGTTTTCTAGCTACAAGACCAGCCTAGAACTCCTCGCAACAGCACTGATTATCTCCGCTTACGAAATGCTCGACAACTCCACCAACGACTGGGAACGGCACCTTGAAGGTGTCTTCTTTATACAAAGATCCCAGACCATCCACGGCGAGTCTGGTGGATTACACTCCGCCGTATGGTGGGCCTGGCTCTGCCAGGATATCTGGGCGGCATTCCGCGAGAAACGCAAAACATTGACGTTTTGGATTCCACAGAAGCCGTTATCCGCGCTTTTGCCGCACGAACTCGCTATGCGAGCTATTTATATTACAGCGAAGGTGATTAGTTACTGCGCAGAGAGTACAACCGAGGAGAATAGACGGCGTCGAATCGATGATGCGAACCGCCTTCGTGATATGCTCGAGGACTGGCGACAGCACCGGACCGTGGAGTTCTCGCCCTTGCCGCTCGGCACGCGTGAGCATTCATCATACTTTCGACCGATTTGGATACGTCCTGCAGCGTTTGGTATGTTAAATGACAACTTCAGCCTGGCCGGTGTGATGGTGGCATCTCCCGTGATTAAACAACGTGAATTGACGAGATTCTTTTACTAGGACTGGCAGTTCAGTTCTTCAGCGCGTCGTGTATTCTCTTACTGGTGCATGAGCCCAGTATAGGAGGACTAGACCAATACCTCCAACGCCAAAGTGCCATCAAGCATTACGTGGAAGATATCTGTGGGATTGCGATGACTTTGAAGGATAATGCATCTAGCTTGATGTCCTCTCAGGCAGTATTCATAGGTATGTAATAGGGAGACGCTACTGCCACACCGGCCTTCGCTCATGCCACGCCCTCCGCCTACCTGTTTTTAGCACATGCAGAAACCCTATCGCCTTGCCAATAATCTTGTGTCCTGCCTGAGGCGACAATTACGGCCCGATGAATGATGTGACTGCCTCAGGCTAACATTGTCGCCTCAGTCAGTGAGACAGACAAAGCAGCAGGCGGTAGGGATTCTGCTGCTCAAAGAACCGAGCCTTAATTGTTAAAGCTGGCGGAGATCATGGCATGAGCAAAAAGCCTCCCACGTAACATCGCTGAGTGCCTTTCACGTGGCTTACAGATCGCAGCAGGAATCTTTACTCAAGAGAAGCGTGCTCGCGAAGACATCCTGGAGCTGCTCGAGTCTTGTCGAGCAAGAACTGGGTGGCCGGTTAGATCATTGGGAGTGGAGTTACAGGAGCTTTGGGAAAGCCAGGATGCCAAAGCCGCTACTGGCGGGAAAACATTTATCCGGGCTGGCGCTGCCTCATAACATGGTTGATGGTTGATTACTATCCAGTGTCCTGCTCCGTAGTCTACAGACCAAGTAATGCCCCCTTGACATCAGCCCCAAGCTGGACCCTCCATAGGCGGTGCTCATTGAGCGCAAAGATCTCCCCATTTCTACCAAAGCAGAAGTTGGCCACCCCGCCATCGATGAGGATGCGACCGAGGAGAACTCCCCCGGGGGACCACACATGGATTCCATCCCCGCAACCACTGTATACGTTTCCATTGAGGTCGCACTTAATTCCATCGGGGATGCCGTGATCGGCCATGGCGAAGAGCCGACGGTTGGTGAGAAATGGCTGTCCATGTATCGTGGACACGTCGAAGGCATAGCTACACCCTAATTAGCAGACACCCTGACAACACTATCGAATCAAACAAGACATACATTGAAGATGCCCGATGATCAAACACCGTACCATCCCCATGCAAACGGTCCGTATCCGTGATATAAACCGTCTTCTCATCCGGGGAGAAACAGATTCCATTCGGCATTCCAAAGCCATCAGCCATAGCGCGAATAGTCCCTTCGCGCGGACACCACCGGTACACCTGACACGGTAGACACGGTTCCGGACGATACTCATGCCTGTAGCCGTAAATGGGATCGGTGAACCAGATGGAGCCATCAGTATGCACGACCACGTCATTGACCGAGTTGAAGGGCCGGCCGAAGAAGTCACCCTTGAGCAGTTCCGTTGTGTACGGGGCAGTGATGGACATGCGATACAGTCCACTAGGCTGAGTCATGGACCCCTGCCCGCAGATGAGGATGCTATCTTTGTCGTAGTTAATGCCGCCGTTGCCCATAGGGATGTCAGTAGGGATCTCCTCGTAGGTGATGGGGCTGGTATTTAGGTCAACGCGGGTGATGTAGACCCTTTGCTGGCTTTTGCTGCCATTTGGATCGACGCATCTGTTGCTGGTGATCCAGAGGTTGTTTGTCTCCGGGATGTAGATTCCTGCTTCGTGTGCAAAGGGGTAGTCGCGGTGTTCTGCGAGTAGTTCGAGGGAGGGGGTTTGACCGGTGATTGTTGTAAAGTCTTTGTGGTGGGATTGGAATCCTGTTATTTCGCTGTCGGTCATGGTGAGGTATTTCGCTACGCCGAATAGATTGTCAGGACAGTATTCTATTGTGTAGGTTGACCAGAACAAGAGATAAAGTCAGTGCTCAGTATACAAAGAGTGGCAAACAACAACAGTGGAGGGGAAAGATGGGGGAGAGAAACTGGGGAATCGGGGTAACTCCAGTCCTCGTCTCGAGGCCATCTCCGCCCCACCGCGAGCCCATTTCCGCAGAGTATAAGAACGTCGATCAACACAAGCAACCATGGTATCACAGCTGCACCCGTCTAATTTACTTACTGTTCCTCGCATCGATGTCCTGGAACGAAGAAAACCGCCACAGGCGCATTCTGCGCAATGCTCACGCCGGCGGATACGGCGTCATCGCAGTCATCGCCTACAACCTCGAACAAATCCTGGGATATATCCGAGCAGCTGAAACAGCGCGCTCGCCACTTATAATACAATTCTTCCCTTGGGCAGTCAAAGCAACGGATGGCTTGATTGTGCGGACTGCTGCGGACGCAGTCAGTCGCGCGACCGTGCCCATCAGCATCCACCTCGACCATGCACAGTCGGAAGACATCATCAAGCAGGCGGCGGATATGCCCTTCGACAGTATCATGGTGGACATGTCTCATCATGAGAAGGAGGTAAATCTGCGCAAGACTCGCGAGTTGGTGCGATACTGCAATGAGCGCGAGAAGGTCACCGAAGCTGAACCGGGCCGTATTGAGGGAGGAGAAGACGGAGTCATGGATACGGCAGGGTTGGAGGCTTGCATGACCACTGCGGAAGAGGTGGATGAGTTTATAGACACAGGTGTGGATGTGCTTGCTCCGGCTATAGGAAATGTTCATGGGGAATATGGCCCCCGTGGTCCGCAATTGGATTTTGAGCGGTGAGTTGGGTTGAGTATCTTGTGATGCCCAAAACAACTAATTTGCTGACGTTGATGTGGCAGGTTTGAGAAGATTCGGAGTCAAGTCAATGGAAGAGTTTGCTTGGCAATTCATGGTACGAATGGGTTTCCGCCAGAACTGATACAGCGCTGTGTGGCGGCTGGAGTGGCCAAGATTAATGTAAACCGACTTGTGTTAGATGATTACTATGATCATCTTCGGGATAACGGGGGGAAGATACCACACACCCAGCTTATTGAGGAGGGAATCCAGAAAGTGGCAGATTTGACAGCGAAGTGGATGGAAATCTGTGGGTCTGCGGGAAAGGCGTGAGGGAGCGTAATGGAGATATTATAGAGAGATTTCTTAGTCGAATTCATTCAGTCCAGCAACTTTTCACTATCTCCCATGATGACAGAGAGGACAAGCACGTAGTAGTGGCGACGTTTAGCAGCCTAGGATACTACTTGGAGAGCTGTCTGCATTTGCAACATAATCATGACAGTAATAAAACTATGGGAACAAGTAGAGTATACCCAATAACTGCAAATCACCATAGAAACTATTTTCAGACCAATCTATTGTAAATTACTAAACATCCCACCATCCGCCAACAGCCCCGTGGCATTTACATATCGACTCATCTCCTCACAAGCCAGAAACACCGCCGGGCCAGCCATATCGTCCGGGTTTCCGATCCGCCCCAACGGAATACGCGCCTCGAGCGCAGCCTTTTTGGTAGGGTTCTTCATATCATGATCAGCCAACTGAGTAGCAATAGTGCCAGGCATCAGAGCATTGCATCTGATCCGATCCTTGCCCAGTGAAATGGCCATGGACTGCATCATGGAAAGCACAGCGGCCTTAGTGGGCGTGTAGTGGGTCTGGAGGCCTCCACCGACCAGCGCGCTGACGGAGGAGATACCGATGATGGAGCCGCCATGGCCCTGATTGACCATCTGCCGAGCAGCTGCTTGGCAGGAGTAGAAGCAGCCTTTGATGTTGACGTCGATGCTGTGGTCGAGAAGAGACGACTCGATCCTGAGTATGTTAGTGACCACTTCTCTATCGTTCACTGTAGGATAATAGACTCACTGGAGAAATTCAGCTTGTTTGAACACGCCTGCGTTGGCGACAAAAATATCTAGCTTGCCCCATTGAGAAACGGCTTCTTTGACGAGGTTTATGCTGGTCTCCGGGGCGGTCACATCGCCCGGAATCTCGAGAATCTTGCCAGCCGCAATGCCGCTTTGTTGGATGGACTTGACTTCGTCAAGCAGACTGTGCCGATGCACCTCGTCTTGGGGGAGACCCAGATGGTTGACTGCGACATTGCAGCCTTGGGTGATGAAGGCCAATGCGATCGCACGCCCGATCCCTGTCGTGCCGCCGGTGATGGCAGCTGTTTTGCCCTTGAGCAAATTGCAAGCTGGTAGAGCCATTGCAGAAACCTGTACACAAAGGAACTGTCAAGAAGAAAACACTAATCTCCGTACAATGTAGTGTCTGTAGCAGCTTTTCAAGTTATGGAATGCAATCAATGTTCCCGTCTCGAGGCATTGCATCCCCGCGCTTCCCCGCCTCCGCGTCTCGGGGGATCCCCGACTCGAGTGATCGAGTATGAGCAGATGACCAAAACATGTTATAAAATGACCTTTGAATGTCTTCTACAATGCCAATATTCTCGAAAGGCATTACCTATATCGTATCAAGCATATTGATATTATCACAATGACTTCTGCGGACCCTCAAGAAATACCCCAGGCCAGCGCTCCTCAGACCCAGGTCAGCCTCGGGGGCAAGATTATCGCAAGTAAGTAAACCATGGAACACGTCAGCGATACATCTCTAATCTCTATCCAGTAACCGGCGCCAATCGTGGAATTGGCCTCGGTATCGCAGAATGTTGTCTCACCAACGGTGCCGCCAAAGTCTACTCGATCGACATCGGCGAGACGGGAGAGGACTTCGCCGCCCTGGAAAAGCGCTACCCCGGGCAACTCAGCGCCATTAACGCAAACGTGACAGAGGAAACCACTATCACCGCAGCAATTGACAAGATTATCGAAGAGGCCGGTGCGCTGCACGGCATGGTAGTCAACGCCGGTCGCACTCACCACAAGGCTGCTCTGGATTTCACCAAAGAGGAGATCGAGACCCTCTTCAATGTTAACCTCTTCGGAGCGTTCTATAGCGCCCGTGCTGCGGCACGTGCTTTTATCAAGCTCGGAATTAAGGGGTCAATTGTTTTTACTGCGTCTATGGCCTCGTACCGACCGAATAAGGTCTGTTGTCGTTCATTTTTTTCGATGGAATGGTAGCTTACGATATGTTAGCGCGTCCCATCCACACCTTATGGAGCTTCCAAGGCCGGTGTCCGAAACATGACTCACACATTGGCCATGGAATGGGCTCAGTATGGCATCCGCGTGAACAGTGTCTCGCCAGGTTTGGTCAAAACTGCCATGACATACTGGGTACCACAGCAGCCCGACTGGGAGCAGCAACTTAAGTATTACGGAGGATTTCCGCGACTGGCGGAGGTGCAAGAGCTCGGAGGTGCTTATGTATATCTGCTGAGTGATGCTGCTAGCTATACGACATCTATTGATATCCCGGTGAATGGGGTGATTGGAAGTGAGTGTTTGATGACTCTTTCTAAGATCTTGAATGATACTGACTTGAACAGTTTGTTGAAATGTAATCTTCCATGGCGAGGTCCTGTTTTGTGGATGTCGAGTTAATGAGTTGGTTTACCTCCAAGAGCATTCATGGAGCACTTCAATACAGGCTGAGTTTCTTCACATATCTCGTATTTCTCTAGACTACCAAATAGATGAAACTATGAAACGCTTTACTGGGCGCGCGGTATGGGTCGTTTAATGTTGTGCTGCGTGCGTAGCACAGTCCTTTTAATAAAGTTGTGAATCGCCTTAGTTTCTTGTATACGAAGAGAAATACTCTTGCAGTTTAGGTAGAATGCTTCACGTTTTGTGAAGCATAACTATAGCATGGCATTCAAACGGCGTTAACGAAATGAATAGAATCATTAGACATGATCTTCCACAATATCAGCCTACGCAGTAACCTTCAAATCCATCATTCCAAATTAAACGTAAACGCATTGGCCCCGTACTTTCAGATCCTAGTGTGTTCTCCCCTTCATGGTGCCATCAATTCCCTCCAAATCACTATACAACCGCCACTCATAATCAAAACTAGGGTCATTGAACCGCGCCTTTGCATCCAATGTAGCAATTCGAGCCATATCCTCTGCATCCAGCTCAAAATCAGCAGCCAAATTCTCCTCAATCTGCCAATCGATCACAGTCTTCGGAATAACCGAGCGGCCGCTATTAATCCCCCACGCAAGCACAACTTGCACTGGACTCTTGCCGTATTTCTGTCCGATCTCTTTGAGGATGGGCTGATCAATCACCCGCATCATGTGCGCGATTTCCTTCGACCATCCTGCCTGGCGGTAGAAGTCGTTCATGTTCCCGAGGGGACTGAACTGGACGACGTGAATACCCTTTTCGCGAAGCCACTCGTTGAAGCCCTTCTGCTGGAGGTAGGGGTGGACTTCCATTTGGTGCACGGCGGGGACCTGCATGTATCACTTTCAGTCAAGTAATCAGATGAAAGTAAAAGAAAAGGGACCTACAGTAGAAGTCTCCCTAAGCAACGTCTCAATCTCACCCTTGCTGAAATTCGACACCCCAATGGCCCTCACCTTACCCGTCTTAACCACCTTCTCCAACGCCCTCCACGTATCCACAAACGCAGTCTCCCCATGTATCATCCTCCCCTCCGCATCGCGGGGAAACCGATCTTCGCCCCGCTTGAACGTGCACGGATAATGCATCAACAATAAATCGACGTAGGGCGTATCCAGGTCCCGCAAAGAATCATCCACCGCGCGCTCCACATCGTCGGGGTGGAAATCGTTACACCAGAGCTTCGTGCCAAGGAAGATCTCTTCGCGGGGGACGCCGCTCTTCTTGATTCCCCTGCCGACTTGCTGTTCCACGCCGTAGACCCGTGCTGTGTCGATTAGCCGCATACCACGCTGTAAGACTTGGCAGACGGTGTCTTCTTGGGAGTCGGGGTCTTGGAAGGTGCCGACCCCGAGGGCGGGGATTTTGGCGCCCGTGTTGAGGGTATATGTTGTGCGGGTGGTGGGAGGGTGAGTGCCGCTTGTTGATTTGACGGAGACGATTGGGTCTCTGGGGACTTGGGGGCCGGTGGAGTTGACTGCTGCGGTTGCTGTAGCCATGTTGAGGGTGTAGTAGGAAGGTACTAGTATTCTGGGTGATGTTGCTGCCAAGAGGTTGTGATTACCTCAACCTTGTGACGGCCGAATTGAGGAGAAGTAACGGAGTAAATATATTGTTCATTGGTATGTGGTCTACGGCTAGAAGGGGAATATATCTGCACTGGTCGTAAGGCTATAAGCCACTGCGACGGTTGGTTGCTCCAACGTAAGCAGGAATCTGTAAGCCTGCATGACACCGTGTCGGTACTACTCCGCAGTAAGATTTGGTGGCGGGTAATAGCGGTCGTCGGCTACTGTAATCACCGATCTAACGGGATAAGCATAACGGATGGACATCAATATCCACATAAGCTTAAATGTATATTGTTGCATTGTTTAAATAAGGCCACTAGGGATATCTCTAGTAGCCCCCCTACTCTGATTCTCAACGATTCATTGAATGGTCGTCGATATGGAAGATTGGAAAATTCACTCGATTATACCTGCCAGAACACAATACAAATAGACCAGAATTACCAAAAAGCGCGGGGGGAATGTGTGAATAACACAGCCTTCCCCTGTAGAATTAAAAGCAATAATGTATACTTAATCTGTAATCCCATCCAAACCCCAATTGGCAAATCAGTGGACGTACTGAAAGTCAATTACCCGGTGCCGCTATTAGCCGCTGTAGTGACCGCGAGACGGAGCCAATGCCGAGAGGTTCATCACCCTAGTTACACTTAGAAGAGCTCAAAGACTATTGATGGCATATAGATCTACATAGTTACCATGACCAGTAAAGTAAACATAAATATACATAATTTAATTGAAACATGAAAAATCAATCGTGAAGAAGTCACGTATGCTCAACCTCCGTCAACGGAATCTCATCCGCCACCACAGTAACCTCCACCTTCTTGACAATACCCGGAACCTGTCGATCGAGAAACTCCCTGTCGCCAGCAAAGATATGTGTCGAGATATTAGCCAGGATATGTTGCTCCAAGTTCTCCCCAGACTGAGTTTGCTGCATGTACGGCATGATCCATCGTTTCTTCCAGTCCTGCGTCATTTGACTGACATTAAGCGTCGTGCTCTGCGTAGCTTCGGGGTTGTCCATTCTCGTGTGTAAAGTGGGTGCTCGTTTGATGAATTTCTTGATCCAGTGGACAACAAGCGGTCGGAGACAGGGTATAGATGCGGTGATGAGCACCACGCCTGCTTCGACGAACATCCACCGTAGAAGGGTGACGTGGTTGGTGCGAGGGTTGGTAGAGGTCATGATGGTTGGATATTCGATAGTTTTGACTAGTGAAGCAGCCATGGCTCTGTAGTGATTGGTTTAATGGTTAGTTCTGCATGAGATCATGGATAGTTGATGAGCTACTTACAATACTCCCAAACTCAGGAGAGAGATTAGAACAAGCTTGACTCTGACGTTCCAATTAAATCGCCAGAAGATGTATATTGGAAAAGAGGCGAGAAGGAGATCACAGGCGGAATTGAATGCTATTGGAGACTATCAGAAGGCGCATTTCCAAAGAGTCGTGATAGAGAAAGCATACCACCCTGAAAATAAGCATAGTCAATCTGAATCTTCAGCGACATGCAATGGGTGCTTTGGCTTGGGTTGAATAATTCCTCCACATGTGTCGAACATTGAAAGAACAGTAAGAACACGCTGATGATATTGACCATCACCTGCAATGGCACGAGAGTCCATAGGGTGATCCGGTGTAACTTTCGGGCTGCCAGCAGCTCGATGAGATAAATGATAAACGCCAGACGACCGGCAGTTGCAGCAAGCGTTACCACGGCCTGACTGATAGTGGAGTACTTGAGGGAGCTCATTGCGTGATGCAGCTCCAACGAGCTGGCGGTCTTTCCGTACCCATAGTCCACTGCGACACTTGACAGCACTGCGGCAATCACAAGCAGCGTCTATGCATTTAACCGAATGTTAGTGACGTCGGAGGAAGGCAAGTTCATGCACTGACCAGTGCCAATAAAGTGACTATATCACTGATCTCAAAATTGCCAAACTTGGCATTGCTCACTGAGCGCATCGCCACAACTATAATGGACAACGCATTCATTGTCCAAATGGCAATCAGCAGCTCTGGGCCAAAGTTGACCGCAGAGGTTGGCCTCGGCCGCGGACTGCCGGTGGTACTATTCCCACCAGTTCCATTGGGCGGGGACAATCCGGCACTCATCTCCGCAGGGAGTCATAGCAAAGAGGAAAAATGAAGGGGACAAAGGGAATATCTACGCAAGGGCGACAGACGATAAAAAGGATTATTGGGTTCCAAAGGCCACGATCATCGCACAGACCTGGAATGATAGCCAAGCCGGCGAGCGATATATTTGGTGCCAGATAAGCCCCGGGGCGGAAACAAAGTTGGGGTGGGATCGCATTGTGCAGTTGTGATAGGGTCAAATTCAGCGAAAAACCACGCGTCGTTCGGGATGTGCGATTAAGGTGCACTGCTTGGTACTGGCCGGTGCAACGAACACGCTCAGCTGGCTATTGTGTGCTGGTTGATCGGGCCCACTGGATTACTCAAAGTTGCTCAACGGCCGGACGATCGTCGGAATCCACTTTAAGTGAAACGACACCGTTGGGCCCGGGCATCCTCTGGCCCGCACCCGCTAAGGCAAATTAAGCATATTGACCGGCTCTTGTTGCATGCGCTCCACCCCCTTAATATCATTAGCTCGTAGCTCTTGGGATTCCCCTCCAGGGTTCCAGTCGGGACTGGCTGTGATTAAGATAAGTCAGTTGACAGCCAAATATTAGAGTTGATCCCAGCGGAGCTAAATTTACCTCTTGGTGTTTCTCAAATCCAATGACAAGCTATCCAATTAATGTCCCGTCAGACGATGTAGGATGGGATGGATGGAGACCAGAATGACTAACAAAAATGCCCTTGACAGTGCAAGTGGAGAAGTAGTGTATTTGTTGCGAGAGTGCATTTTCAATCCGAGACCTTGCCAAGTGATTTACCATAAAACCTGCCATTCTTATTAAGAAACACTTGTCTAATTAGGCCGATTATTTTAGCTGCTCAGCCCTATATAAATACGCTCAAAAAGATCAAAATGGTGCCTGTCACCTACTAGGCCTAAGTTGATGAACAACAGGTCAAGTAGGTGGGCTGAGAAGAGAGATTTGATAACGGCTTAAAATGTACAAACTCTCCTCGAAGCGCTCCTCCGACCTAGAGCGGGCAACACCAAATCCTCAAGGATATCCAAATTACCACTCAGGGCAGGGCTCATTGTCATCACCAGGTGAGGATTCAGAGCCAGCCTTAGAGCCCGATTGAGAACCAGACTGAGGGTTCGACTGCGACCCAGGGGCAGACCCAGATGGGAACGGCGCAGAGCCAAACCCGGAGCCAGAACCGGATCGAAATCCGGGGCCAGAGCTGGATTGTGAGGGCGCAGCACCAGATCCAGCGACCGAAGGAGCGATGGACGGCACAGAGCCGGATTCCTGAGCGGCCGAAGCAGCAGCTGGGTCAGTCGCCTCGTCGGTAGAAACAATACCAGCAGCTGAAGGGGTCGGGGTCGCGTGGGTAGCCACAGACGCAGTGGACGAAGCGACAGCAGTTTGAGACCCCATAGCAGGAATGCTGATAGTGGCGATGTTCCAGACCTTGCCGCCTTCGCTGGAAGTTAGACCGGTGTATGTGGCGCCCGCGCCCGTTGCGATGGTGTCGCCGAAACTGGTGTCCGCCTCACGCAGGGTGATGGTGGTGTTGAGATAGAGCTGGTCTGCCACGGTGCCGGTGCAATCGCTGTCGCATTCGGTGCCGGTGCCATATCTAGGAGCAATAGCAGAGATGGTTAGTAGAGCAACTTCTGTATAGTCCATTCATCGGTGACTTACCCAGTCATGTAGGGCCCCGCAGCATAAGAGTAGCTGGATAGAGCAGCACCCGTCAAGGCGTTGGTGACATTCTGAGTCCAGGTCTCGCCATCAGAAGCGAGGTTGTACTCGATACGAACGTGGTCGTTGGCACTGACGGGCGAGCCAGTACCATCCAGCTGTCCGAACGAGCCGAAGATACTGGCCCGCACACACCACTGGCCTGTAGTGGCACCGCACCAGGAGTTGCTAGGCCAGCTTTCAAGCGTGGTCTGGATGAGATCACCAGTTCCGTTGCTCATTCCTGGCCAGAGGAACAGCTCGCCATTCTGAGTAGAGGGAGCGACTCCAGGAATGATGGTGGTGACGGCGTTGATAATGTCGGACTTGGTCGGACCCAACGAGACACTGCCTCCCCAGGAGTCCCGCTTGGCGACCTTGGTGGAACTCTGGAGAGCAGCAGGCAGCACAGCGCCGAGAGCGACGGAGGGAAGAATAGCAAGGATGCTGAGGACGTGCATGGTGAGCGTTTGGTAGAGTTAGTTGGTATTCAAAGAGTAAATGTAAAACTGAACTACTATAATGAATGGAAAGGCTGAGGCCACCAGTGCCGTCAGAACCAGAGAATTAGATGATAAAAGAAATATAACGATAGACAGCTAGCTTTTCAAATGAGAACATGGGGAAAAGCTTCCTTTATATATAGCCCAGGCCATATCCTCGGTTCTCTCGGAATCAAGGCCTTCAATCAAATTACGGTTTCAGGCTAAGGCGAGGGCTGAAACGTCCGCCTGAAGAACATCCGGAATCCGCACCAATAGATGGCAACTGCCCGAATTTCTCAGCCCTGTATGGACTGGCCTGTCATTTCCTGTCTTCTCCAATTGTTGGACGGGTCACCGCTCTATCCAGAACGTATAGGGCCTCATATTATTCAAGGTGGTCGGATACTAATTGTATGGATTTAGCTATATTATGGATCCCTCCTTTCCACCTAACTAGTAAGGGTCTCCACTCGATAACAATAGATCACACGGTCTACTGGCAGTGAATATCCGAATTGAATGAATACTGCTACGTAGGGCTTAATGCCCTTGTCTAATCCAGCAGGAAATATATATATATAATTGCGTCAACAAAACCCGAAATTTAAATCATCATTTGTGACTAACTACTATAGGCACTCACTTGTTGAATCAGTCTGGTTTTGCCCGTTTTTGAGTGCTTCCTGTGTCCTTATTTTCCATGGTAACTACGTACACAAATTGAATTATCCAGAGAATCCACTAAAACAGAAAACACTTTTGCTGCATCACAAACCTGGTGATGTAAGCTTAGACGGCAATAGCCAGGCGTTCATAGAAGCCCACGCCCTGGTTCTCGATGCCAGTCGAGAGAAGGTCATCACTAGCCTCAGCGCGACCGGAACCGAACCGCTTCAGGTTCCATTTTTCGATTCCTTCCACGCCCTTGAGGTCGTTGGAGTAGGTCCGGAACAGGTCGCTGTTGAGGCGCTCGTACTCGGAGTATTCCTTCGGCCAGTCGCCCAGGCGCTCAACAGCAAGCTTAAGCAGGTGCAGATGCTTGCGCACAAACTTTCCTTCGTCCTCTGTGCCCACTCCAGGGCTAGAAGCAGGCGAGGAGAGACCCGAGAGGACGCCTCCCTCCATCTCCGATGCGGAGATCGAGGTCGGATCAATGAAGTAGCGCAGTGCGTTCTCGTGCACCGCCGCGGCCTTCTTGTAGTACCGGTAGGCCAGCTCGCGACGGTCCTTCTGGTTCTGGTAGCCCTGTGCCACGCTGGTGTACATCTGGGAAAGGAGGACAGTCATCTCCACCGTGCTGGAGTGACGTGGTCCCTGAACCCGCGCGCAGTTGTAGACGATGTCCTCGGCCAACCGAATGGCAGCCGTGTAGTCGCCAATCAGGTAACGGGTAATGACCAGCCAGCGGCCAAGAGCCAGAGTGTACTGGAACTGTTGCTGAGAAACCTCCTGGTCGCTCTGAGCGTTCCAGATCTCGTGAGTATCGCGGGAATTCCAGAGTGAGGTGAGAATCCAAGCAAGCGTATGGTAGTCGTGCTGCTCATCGAGCACGCCAATCAGGCTCTCCAGGTTCACGAGATCCAGCTGAGCCATATCAATGTTGTGGCTCTGGAAGTAATCCAGCGTGTCGCGCATGATGGTGCCTGACACATTAAGCATTTCCTTGCGCGTGGACGCCGGTGGTTCTCCCTTGAGGTCACGACCGGCAATGACCAATCCCAGCTTAAACACGAGCTTAAGGGTCGATTCTGAGGAGTATCCTTGGTGGGACCAGACGTAGCGGAATGCAGTCAAGGCCAAGTCGCATGCTGCCTGATAATTGCCTGATGCCAGCAGCTGCGTGGTCCGGTTGTAGGACGCGATAGCAACCGAGCGGATGAGATCCCGCGACTTGTGTGTGCTGAAATACTCCAGAATCGTCTCGGTAAACACTCTAGCCTGATGACTGTTGACCTTCAGGCTGCTACCCTCATTGTTGAGGAAGTAGTTGGAGAATTGTTCAATCACACGGTTGGCCGCGGACTGGCGGTTCCGAGACACCAAAAACCCGTACAAACGGGGGACGGTGGCTGTCAACGTCTGCAGGCTGGTACTCTTGGAGCTGATTTCGGACTGGAAGCGCTCCATGAACATATACTCCATGGTAAGCGTGGAGTAGATCTCATTCAGAGTGACCGTGGAATCTTCGCGGACACGGAGGCTGTACTCAACCTGAGCCAGGAAGGCCAGGTTCTCTCGCTGGCTGGAAGTCACGTCGAAGCTGAAGAGAGACACGTTGGAAGAGTCCTTCAGGATCAGCTGGCGATAGAGCTCTTGACTCAATTCCTTGGCTCTGTGGGTCTCGCCCGCCTCGATATAGCTAGAGACAATGCTCTTTGCTGCTGCCGTCAGCTGGGTGGCTGAGGTCTGTGAAGTCAGAATCTGAGAGGTCGCCTCCTGTAGCATCGAAACAGCCTGGTGCGTTTCTCCACGCTTAGTGTACAAGGAGGTGATCTCCTCCATCTGAGATAGGGCCTCCTCGTGCGCCCATCCCTGCGTAGACCGGATGGAAGACAAGCTGCGGGTACGGATGGACACCCAGTTCCGCACCTCTGACTCGGTCATGGAGGAGAACTCCTTTTGGGAGACTTCGACACTATCTGATACAGTCATAGTGTCCAGCGTAGCACGAATGTCATCATAGTCGATCTCGACATCAGTGGACCTGGTATCGAGGAGCGTCTTGTAAAGCTGAACTGCCTCCGATTCATATTGCTTGGATTCCAGGCAGATGTGGGCCAATGTCTTGGTTGCTTGGATTGTGATTGTAGCAGTCGAGCCGAACAGACTGATGCACGATTTCCGATACTGGACTGTCACATCATGAATCGAAGCAGTATCGCTCTGAACCATGCGTAGGCAGTGGACGTAACGCTCATAAATTGTCTGCACAAAGGCTTGGTCTTGGAGCTTGGGGCTAATCTTCGGGTTTTGCAGCGTATTGAACAGCACCCGGCAAGGTTTCAGTGCTTCAGTGTAGCGGCCTTGGTTCAGGAGCTCCGTAGCCACCACAAGCAAGGGCTCGAAAGCATCTGGGTGACACTTTTCGGAATCCTTGTTCAAAATAGAGACTATCTGACGGTAATAGTCAACGGCCACGGGCCGGGGACGGGTGAGCTCAGCCAAGGTCCACAGCTCCTTCAGAACGGTAGGGTGGCTACCGCCAAAACGCTTGGTGTAGTCGTGGAGCTTATCTTGATGGATAGTGATCACCTTGTCCGTCTGAGAGGTACGCTCGTAGAGGCGCAGCAGGCTGGTTGTCACTTTCTCAAGTAGCTGATCACCGGCGGGTCGATCACGCCGAACGGCGCGATAGAGACGAACTCGGATATCTTCTTCCTTAAGCTGATAACGTCGGGACCGATAGCAGTTGCTCAGGCGCTCCGTTAGCTCGATAGCCCTGTTCAGATTGGTTGAGGGAAGGACGACATCATCCAGAGAAGGGGCGAACAACGCCGGCCAGATGCTGCGCAGAAGCTGTTTCAAGACCTTAGTCGCATCCTGCCACCGGTGCTGAGACAGATACAGTTCCAACAGCTTATTGGAAGCCTTTATAGTGACTTCATCAGTGCTGGAAGACTGGTACACAATTTCCTCCAGGCTGGACTCAGTCTGGAACGACTCGAAGCTGGTGCTCTGCATAATTTCCCGACTTGTGGACTGGATGTACTGCTCGGCTTCCTGATAGGTGGAGCTTTGCCGAGTGCTGTTCCGAGAGATATGCTTGAACACGTTGAGCGCTACTCGAGACAAACCAACTGACTTCATAAGGTGTGCGACATCGAGGAAATGAGACACCACTGCCTCTGAGCTTGAGGTGGTTTGCTCATACTCCTCCCAGAAGCCCTCAAGAATGGATGCGGCCTCGGACTCTCTCGCCTGAGACTTGAGAAATTTGGAGTAGGCTATCACTGCTCTCACATTTCTCAATTCCCATTCACTAGATCGATTGACCCGGTACTCCTTGCTGGTGTGCTGCCAGAGCTCAACGTAGAGGCTTTCTGCCTCCCTCCAGTGTCCCGCAGCTACGGCCTTTTCCGCCCGACTAAAGAGATTTTCGACATCCACCGTCCAAGAAATCAGCTCGTCAGTTTCAATATTCTCCCAAGTGAGGGTAGTGCCTTGGTCGTAGGTATCTTGACGGCCACGGATGTGAACCAGCAACGACCCATCAACCTGTCGAGTCTTACTCTGATTGCGCGTGTGATGCTTTTCTGTCGTGGTGTGAAGCCATTCTTCAATTTCTTTAGCTTTGTGTTCCTCCTTGATGGAAATGTAGTGCTGGGACAGCTGGGTCAATGTGGAGGTCACTATGGTGCTTGTGGCTCCGTAATGGATCTTGTAACATTCCACAAGCAGTTCGAGCATCTGAACACGCTTGATCATGACGTCGGTCTTAGACTCAATGACTTGGTCTGCAGTGGTTTCCAGATAGAACTTGGTCATCTGCATCGTGATGAGGTGACTCTCGGAAAGCACATCTTTACTGATCACTGCCGCATCATAAAAGATCTGACTGACCTGCGCAGGTAGGCTATCATGGATGCGTCGATAGAAAAGAGCCTGGCACAGAATTGCTTGGAGCGTAGTGGGATGATTGGTTGTCAGGATCTGGCGGTAGAGACGCGTCTGGGTCTCATGCAGTGACTTGAGCGCCGGGGTCGACTTGCCCTCCCATACAGTCATCTCCAACAAGGGGACCGTGGGAGAGGTTGGGATAACAGATCTCAGTTCATTTCCCGCCGTGACAATCTCCCGATCAGTGGTGCAACCATACGCCAGGCTGGCGTGATTCACCCAGTACCGAAGGGCGAAGTCCAGAAGAGGGTGCTTATCCAGATAGGTCTGAGTAACCTTCTCGTCCAGAGGACTCAAAGACGGGTCGTGGCTCTCAGTCACGGCTTGCTTAGTGTAGAACAGAAGCCTTTGCGTCAAATCGCTGTTTCGGTTCTTGATGGCCGGAAGGAACTTTTCCTTGGCAAAGATGTCGAGAATGGCCGAGCGAATTTGTCCATGTCTAAGGAAGACCATGTTGTTTTGAATGAACACGAGCGAGGCAACAGGCTTAAGAGTATGCTGGATATCAATATCTCGCTCGGTATACGAGCCCTTGCTCAAATCGATAGATACCAGAGATGTCAATTCGCTCTTGCTGAGTGGGCGGACCGCAGTTGCGAGCCAAGTTACAATCTTCTTCCCATCATCATTCAACTTCGAATGCAGGGACTGGGAAACCAGAGCAGTGACGCTGTATCCCGCGTTGGCAATGCTCTGGATAGACCTTGTCAGAGAATTTGCGTTCGTTGGATGCTCATCCCGAACACGCTTCGCAGCAAGCTTGGCCCATAGGAAGGAACCCTGTGAGGCCTCTGCAATCCGGGTCACATTGAGCTCCTGATCATCTTCCGACATAGAATTAAAGGCGTGACTCTGTTGCAGGATCTTACGTGCCACAGCGGCAATGTCATCGAAGATCAGCTCTGGAGTGACGTTCACCGTAGTCTGAGACGGGAATTGATTCGGCTTCTGGGAGCCAAAAACAATCAATTTCACATTACCGGCGTTCTGAACAGCCTCTTGGAGCTTTCGCAACAAAGGTGTCTCGCCGCAGCTGGCCTCGTCAACGCCATCGACGACCAGAACAAGTTCTTTGGCGTTCTTCAGACTGGCATTGAGCGAATTGCCCAAGGCATTCCAGAGAATGTTGTCGTACGCATCTTCGTCAACAGTTCTCTGGCTGCGCTCATATGCATCGGCTAGGATCTGATAGAGGCGTACATTGCCGATGCGTTTGCCGAACAGCTGGGACAGGATTGTCTTCGCAATAGCCCGTGGCGTGGTATTCGCAGCCACCCGGCCATCTGTCGGGTATATTAGAGACGCTGGATATAAAGCATTCTCGATTTGTACTTACTGATTGGCGCAAAAATTGGCTTGTAGGTCACACCTCCAACTGGATGCTGCAAATGGTCGTTGATGACCGTTGACAAGATTGATTTACCGGAGCCCGGCTTGCCCACAAAGGAGAGGACTTGGTTGTTACTCTTGAGGAACCTGGTCAAGTACTGGGACACCCAGAGGCAAGTTGACTCCTCGCGCTCCTGAGCAAAATGAGCAGTGTTTTCGGTGATATTGGTGAGAGCTGGATCTTCTGGCTCCAGCCAGCTTCTGATGGTCTTGATTTCGGTCACTACGGTAATTCTGGTCAGCAAACCGTTTTCACTAAATCATATTAAAGGTTTTTGCTAACCTTTATCACCATTCAAACCCTCACGAACAAGTTGGTGCCTCCACATCAAGTCTGAGACGGTCTCGCAGCGACTGTGAAAGCTGCTGAGCGAATCGGAAAATTGATGATAGATGTCAATTTCCACCGTCTCAGAGTTCTGCAAGGCGCGGTTGAAGTGGCCCGCAACACCAGCGACCAGAGTAACAAGGTCAGCCAATGCGAGAATCAGCTGGTCCTTGATATCCTTGGATACATCGAAGAGTTCCGTCCTGTCCAGCAGGTTCCCGAGCCCAGTCGAGCAGCGGTAAAAGAACCCGAAGAGGTCTTGAAGTGCGGATGCATTTTGCTCTCCGAGCTATGCACCAATGTCAACAATCCATAACATGTTTCTTGGTGTTGAATATAAGTCTTGGACACATACCTCAAGCAAATTAGCACAATATACATAGGCCAGCTGAGCCGCCATGTGGCTGTCGCCGGCGAAGTGTCCAATGGCTGAATCGAAGGAATGGAGGCGTCCCACGAACAAAACAGCCCAGACTAGGGCCTTGTCGTAGCTGCTTCCCTCAGGGGGTAGCTTCCCCATCCGTTCAGCTCGGATCCAGTTCAGTAATGTCTCATAGTCGGCATCATTGATTTTGGATGCCATCATCGCATCGCTGCTCCGTCGAGTGAGAGTGTTAACCACATCCGCCAGTGCGGTGTTCCCACTGCTGCTGACTCTTCTCGACACATGTCTGGAACTTCCGGATTGAAAGGTGCTGTTCGAGTAACTCTCCTGGTCCAGAATATTCGACGCCTGACGCGTGCCGAAGATAGAACTAGCAGACAGGGGCGACCCGAAGGTGTAGTGCACGTTGGGTTGGAAGGAGGTGGCCATTATGAGTTTAATTAATTAGATTATTGATAGAGGGGGTCAACAAAGAGGTTTAAGTAATTAATCATGAAGAATAACAACAATAAATGCCAAACGTCATATGAAGGTCAGAAGCTTTCGTGAGTGATGGACATTCAAGCAGATGTTGATTTCAACATCAGTTGGTTGTCGCACGGTATCAATGAGGAGTGTATTCTTGAACGCGAACTTTGACGATGCTCATCAAACGATCAGGGTACATCTTTCGCACTTTTATATCTTCTATAGCCGCATCTCCACGGCGTGTCCGTATTTCTCTCACCCAATGCAAGACGTCAACATGAGGTAGATCAGAACTCAAAGCTAGCTAGCTACCCCCAGCTTGGTGCAAGGAAGACCCAGCATGGCCAGTAACATGTACGATAGAATCTGAGTCTCCCCACTCCAGCTCCCGATCCACGATGGGCCCGCCGGGGGAGTCTCCTCCCGCGGACTCATCCGACCGTATATTGGTTGGTACAGCTGTCCTGCAACGACATGACTGCTATCAAGCCATGGCTGAACAGCGGCCAAGCCGAAGCTGGGACAAAGTGGAAAGATTGATTGGCGAGCTGATCAACATAGGTAAGCTTTTGAATTGGGTTTGCTCCTAACAAATAGGATTGCAGAGAGTGGAACAATGGAGATCCGACCGATCGCTGTGATGACCGGAAACGATCAGCAGAGCTAAATCTCTCGGGGGTGGGTATCCAAGGAGAACGACTTGGAATGCTATAAGTAAAGGTGCAACGACAGGTCTTTCGGGGTGTCCGACATGTATCAATGTAACAGTGTCTGAATTGGCTGGGGCAGTTTTGATATGTCTCTCCTATTGGCGCCCAGTACGATTAGTTGGTCGTCCACTGTTCATTTGGCAGGATTTCGTGGCCCCCTTCCCTCGGGATGAATGCGCGCACAGCGAAAGAAAGTCTAATACAATGCAAGCTCTTCGCCTGGAACAAGTCACCTAAGCGACAGGATGAGTAGGATCCCTCTGGCCCACGCTAATAGTCTCTGATACATCATAGGCAATATAATTATTCATCCAACAACGTCACACCAACAGATCGGAGAATTCCATCGAATCGGGGATGCGCGGCAGTCCGATCGAATGTTACGGTTCGAGTGGGGCATCACCGCATGCGGCGCCCCTTCGTTCCCACTGGAACCCTCCATGACAATGACACTTGACAATTGTCGTTCCTAACTCAAGCTTTCATGTGTGCCATTGATCCATTGACGAGTGGGATACCTTAGTTTTGGGATATGTGCGGTCTTTGACGTGAGTTTGCAGATGATTACCAATGAAGATCTAAGTGGGTCAGAGCCTTCGTGCCAAGTGCGATCTTTTCTAACCTGCTGCAAGTGGTCTGGTCAACTTGCCCTTCAGATCGTGGTGGGATAGAATACCATGTGGGAAAGCTTATGAGAGTCTGACGAGGCTGGTGAACTAGAATCGCTCGACTCAGTCACCAGTAATGGTAGCACTAGTTGTGATCGGGCGCCCCGTCAGAAGTAGAGCCATGGTGCTTCAGTAAGCTAGATGCCTAGCGGTACTCCCGTCAACCGGTTGATTTCCTGTTTCATGTATGGGACGTCTAGGATGGCCTCCATCGGTGGCGACTGCCTACCTAACAGGAGTGGGTCTGTTGGAAGTCGTTGATATATATTTATCCCACCAGAACTGTTGACACCGTTAACGGTTCGACACTCAAAAGTCAGCGCATAAAAACTACAAGGAAATTCCAGAACACAGTAGTAGAGCTCGTAGGAATAAAAATGAAATCCCTAGATACTACCTTCTATTAGGCATGGCGATTAGTACCACCTTCAAGGGCAAGCAGTACTGATCCAATTCAACTGCTGGTCATCTTCCGTATAAAGCCCGCTGACTAATAACGTAGATCCCGGCCTGATCGGGCAAAAACGAATTTTCAAGTCGCAATGAAGCATGAAGCAACCAGTTCGTGAATACGGAGCCTTACGTACTCGTTGTGGTATGATGCGTGTGAGTTGATGTTGGAGAGTGAGAGACATGCCTATCCAGTGGTTGAAGAGGGAGAGAGACTCTCCCGATCTGCGCGGCTGTCCTTATCTGTTTCTTTGCATCCTGACTCCACAGCCTTTCCATTTTGGGAAAAAGATACGCCCACCCCCTCACAAAGACAGGACCAGGGCGCTGGGCAGCAGGTTGCCTCAAAGACGAAGCCCATCTCAATGCCCAATTTGAATTCTTTTCTGCTGTTCTGCCTCCCATTGATCTTCTCACAACTATCACGCCGCGACAATCGACCAAAATGTCCGGAATATGGGTTGTCGTAGGTGCATCCAGAGGAATTGGCCTTGAGTTCGTCCGGCAGCTAGCAAACTCTGGACAACGGGTTATCGCCGGAGTGCGCAGCCTATCAAGTGCTGAACTGCTCTTCGAACTAGTTTCCCGGAATACTCGGGACGGTGCTTCTCTGATCACTGTAGAGGAATGCGACGTTACGAAGGCTGATAGTATCGACGTAAGTTAAGCACCGTACAGCATCTAATGGTGACTAGATAAGAGCTAACATATAAGACTAGGACTTTTCTCGCAGAGTCCAAAGAGCCGTGCGAGATGGAGGGCTACGATTAACGAATGTCATTTTGAATGCCGGCATCAATCAATATCCGAATCGTGCTACGGAGATGTACGCCTGCCATCCAAGTACACCATTGTAGCTTATACTCACACACATTGTTGTATCTTTTAGTTCCTTCCAGTCATTTGCCCACCACCTGCAAACCAACACAATTGGCCCGATAATTGTCGCTCAAAGAATGCTTACCATCGACCCGACCACACCATTAGAGAAGCTCATATTCATTTCCTCTGACTCCGGCTCAGCGAGCCAATTTCGGAGCCACGAAGACGGATTTGCCGTATATGCAGCTACTAAAGCAGCCCTGAATCAGTCGTTGAGGCATATGGCGGCGGAAATTTCCCGAAAGGGTGGCAGGACGTGCGTGTTGGCGCTGCATCCGGGCGAGGTGGAAACGTGAGTACTAGTATATCATCTAATTATTTTCAGTCTCTCTGGTAGTTGGCTGCGTTTGTTCGAAGTGAGGCTTGTTGCGCTAATCTGTTGCGGCAGTGATATGGCGAATGTTCAGTTGGGTTGGGTCGTTGAGGGCGTAATTCAGCCAGAAGAGAGTGTAGAAGGGATGCTGAGGGTCATTGAAGAGAAAGGTGAAGGGGACCATGGGACATTCTGGTGTTGGAATGGCAGGGTGAGTTTAATATTAACGTCACTCTTCGGTTGGGCCAGGACCTTTTTAACAATAATCAGAGTCATCCATGGTGATAGCTTGAGAGGGGATGCGGGTTGCGGTTCCAGTTTCACCGAACGAGCTTTGGGTAGCAGTTTCAGGAGGCTACAGGAAGTTGCAGGATGTCGGCAGTTTAGGAATTATGCCATGCAATTACAATACCTTTCTGCGCCAAAGTGATTAGCATTTGAGTGTCTATAAAGAAGGTGGGAAGCTGTCTTAAATGGCATAAATGGTGCTCTGGATATGCTAGAGCTTTTGTGCAAAGTCTTAACGACGTAGCAGTGGGTAAATCTAGAAGAGGAAGACATCTTATCGATAATAAACAACCGGCGGGAATATAAAACTCTTCCGTGACAATACAGATGCTGTATACATTCGCTGTGCCTGGTAGGGTTTTATAGCACCACACTCTCATTCATGTAGGCATGGATAGTATGTTAATAATGGGTAGAGCCATCTCAGATATAGAGTATTAAACAAATAATAGGAAGTGGTAGTCCGTGACTAAGAAAAGAAGCATGACCACTCCTGAGTGTCACCTTTCATAATATCGTGCGTGGGTCTGAAGGAGTATGGGTTGTTTGTATTCGTGCGCTTCAACATATACGGGGGCATTTCGAGTCATTAAGTGAAGTCCAACTCCGGAGACATCTTTCAGTCTCCGCTGATTGAGCGGAATAGGTGACATGTCATATTATTTTGAACTAATGAAAAAGGAAACTGAAGATGTAAAGTGCCAAGAGAGTGACGAGATGGTATGTAGCTTTTTTCTGGTCGTATTCATGCCAACACTAGCCCCTAACATCAACAGCAGTCCACAGGAGGAAGGAGAAAAAAGAAAGCACAGCGTGTTTTCCTTTCCCGCGATTGCTTAAGCTGCTGTAAAACCCAAAGCCTGGCCGTCCAACGCAGAATAGGCTTCTGTTTCCTACTAACTGACCATTGTTGGCTTCTGATCCATCTCTCACACACATACACATTGCGATTCAAAGGCTACAATGGCGGAAGCAGCTTCGGAGCCTATAGGCCGTTTCCCCGGCAACAAGCGCCGAAGCATCGGTGTGGCATGCAAAACCTGCCGCGTGTGCAAGTCCAAGTATGCCATGCCAACGAGTGCAAAAAAGGACAGATTTGCCAGCTTGTTACTCCCTAGCTTGGTGCCTGTAGCAGATGCAATGATTAGCGCCCGTCCCGCTCGTCCTGCATGTCATTGGGGTTCGATTGCCTATACGAACTCCGAGAATCGGCCACCAACGTCATTATCTGCAAGGGTTATGAGTCTGATCTAGAAAAGCGCATGACGTCTTTCGAACACAAGCTACAGCAGCTCAATGATGTGCTCAAGAGCCATCTCTCGCCATGTTCAACCAATTACCCATGCCGGCCCACGAGCAGCACCCCTGCGCGAGAGACGCGTCTGGCAGCTGGCGGGCCACAATTAGGCAACGAGAATGGGTTTAAGACTTGGATTCCTATGGTATTGATTTGAAAATAAGAGGACCCGTAAGAAGTATAGTCCCAGAAAACTATAAGTAAGGGACTGCAATCCTTTACATCTTAGCATGCCAGATGATGCTTTATGCGGCAGCAAATTGGTCAATAAGCGATGACAGGGATCATCGAAGACTGATCACTGCGAAGTATATTTCCCCAGATTGATAATGATCCACCACCTGCACACCGGGTATATGTAGGTTGAAAGCCTTGCAAATAATCACTCGCACTCCTCACCGAACTCCGGTTCAGCCACCTAGGATATATAACAATTCTCAAAACTTCTTCCGGAATTGTTCTGCAAGAGCTTCGTATACGGTTCAGGTGTCCCCTGTGTTTAGTCTGCCTATCCTGCCATGTCGTCCAACCCTGCACCCACCGCCCTTACCCAGCTCCCATTGGGAGAGAACGCTTGTCCTCGCTACAGCAATGTCGAGTTGGGGGACTACTTTGAGCGTCTTAAGCTTCCACAGAAGTATCTCGACTCACCTGTGCTGAAAGATGCCACACAGGCTAGAACCAAAGAACATGGGCTGCCCTTGCTGCAGGCCTTGACACGCTATCACACCTGCAATGTGCCTTTGGAGAACCTCGCACTGCATTATTCCACACATAAGACCGTCACACTTGACGTGGCGGAGCTTTACACGAAGATCGTTCGTCGGCGGCTTGGCGGGCGATGTATGGAGAACAACACCTTTTTCGGCACCGTCCTTCGCTCCCTCGGCTATGAGGTGCGCAACTGCGGAGGCCGCGTGGCTCGGGCAATGCTTCCCTACCCAGAAGTCCGGCGCAATCAGGGCAACACTTATGAGGGGTGGACCCACATGCTCAATCTTGTTCGACTGGATGACGAGTGGTACGTTGTAGATGTTGGGATAGGTTCCAAGGGTCCTAACCTCCCTTATCCGCTGCGCGACGGCTTCCAGACAACCAGCATCGCCCCACGTTTGATTCGCGTGCAGTTACGGCCTATACCAGAGACGTACGCGAGGCGATCTACCAACAGCACTGGACCGCCGAGGATGTGGTGCTTCGATGTCTGCTACAACCCAGCGGATGACGCCAAGAAAGAGTGGTTGCCAGTCTATTGCTTCACGGAGACAGAGTTCTTGCCCCAAGACTACGAAGTCATGTCCTGGTTCACGTCAACAAACCCGCGATCCTGGTTTACCAGATACGTCACCTCCACGAAAATGCTCATGGACGAGGATAAGGAGGTGATAGTGGGCAATATCACCTTGTTCCAAGGCACGGTGAGGGAAACAATTGGCGCCAATAGCAAGGTCATCAAGGAGTGTAGGACAGAAGATGAGCGTTTACAGGCGTTGGCTGAAATCTTTGACCTGCACCTGACAGATGAAGAGAAGAAGGCGATTCCAAATGATCGGAAATTAGCATGAAGTCTAAGATGAAAGGGCTTGGGCGATCTCATAATGGTACTAGCCATCGTGTGATGATACCTTTTACGCAACCTGATTATTTGGCGAGGCATGTGTCCCTTGAATGCGTGCGTGTGTGCATGCATACATCACATCCCAGCCCTCACGTTTTCTTAATGCACGGTAGACGGGGCCGAGAGGGCAACTATCGCTTTTTTATTACTGCATATTCTCTTCAAAGGACTCGTGGTCGCTCAAAGCCACTCCATGCTCCGCTCCCAACCCAACTGCACTCGGGTCATTACGTACCTCCGCATGTTAATCGATTTTCCTACCGGACTTACTTGAGGGCTGTTACCAAAGTGCCCAGTATCTCATGTTTGGCTGTTTAAAGTGAGACTAGCTTCATCTGGCAGGAGCACATATCTCTCCGTCGCCTGGCTAGCCACAAGCAATTTACCGTTCTAGGTTAGCTCTGGCTCACGTCTATCGCCTGCAACGTTTCTTTTCCAAGGCTACACAAGACAGACTGGGAATTAAGATAGCACATACGACCATAGGGTGTGGAAAACAGGGCTTCCCGTCCGCTCAGCCGTACTTAAGCCACACGCCGGGAGGTTAGTAGTTGGGTGGGTGACCACCAGCGAATCCCTTCTGTTGTATGTTTTTACTCTTATATTATTTTTGATAGCTCTTCTAATCGAACTACTTCGTTCCCATGTTTTGCTTTTTGCCCAAAAATTCCACAGGTCGAACATCCGAAATACTTCTTTTCCCTGATGACCCAACATTCTTGCCTCCCTGATTGGAGGAACGTCAACAATTTGCCTACTTCCTGCTGGCACGTCCTGGCGATGGTATGTCCAATCAAGCATGTTCTTGGTTATGATGCCTTGCACCTTGGTGTTACTTCGTATATTATCCAGGTGCCTTTGGGTCTCTCCCGCCCGACTTCTCCACTTTGTAATCCACTGACCGGCGAACTCCGATGCCTATCGTGATGACACCATCTGTACATTTCCATGGGTCTGAGGCCGAGTCTTTCGAATAATCAACATACAATATCGTGCCATCATGTTGCAACAGTCATTGTCGGCGTCCCCGGGGCTCGTCCCGCGATGCTGGTGACTGAGTTCCTCAAGATATCCCTTCACCTAGATGCTGCATGCTTTCTCAACGCCTCACGGTAATGTCCGTTCTAGATCCCCTACATCACAATGACTGTCATCGTCAAGGCAACCGCATACTTCACAAGTGAAGCAGTCTATCCTAGCCTGCGTACAATCTGGGTTTCGGTGCGGTCCCTTCTGAGACTGACGTGCTTGAACGTGCAAACAGTCCCATCTGACCGGCTAGTCGCTCCCACACGAGAGATCTTCAAAGAACGTAATTTGTTGTTCAGAGCCAATATTATATTTTCGATGCTGAATCCTGCATCTTACTGAATGTATCAGAGGAAGCCTTCCAGGAACCGTATAACCACAGCGTGCCTTTCTTCAATCTATGCCCAAAGACCTATTTTATATCTACCAGCCAATACAGATAGTAGCGACAGTGATAATGCTACCACAATCTGGATAATATCCGTCCCTGAAAATCCAGACTGTAGCTAATTATTTAATATATACTTATCATCCGGAAAGACTGGACTAGGCCGGCGAATCTTGACAAGATATACTAATACTTGAAAAACAAGTCTTTCATATCTCTGCTATCCTGTTCACTGGCAAAATTATCCTCGTATCAAAGATTGAGGCCAGCACAATGGGCTTAAATCTAGCTGCACAATAACCAGAGGTTACTATTGAATATATATATTCAGCGGGCCACCGAATGCAAATGGTAAATATATTTCAGATTGATCTTCTGTTGTACCACAAGAGGTTGATTTTATGATCTAGCCAAGTAAGGTTCTTCCTACTTAGCTGGCGAAGTCTCCAACAACAAAGATAGTCATAGCCTTACATGCTACTTACCGTGTAGCAGATTTAATCGAATACTGTTTATAGCCAGTGTCCATGGCGGCTGATTGCAGTTGTAGCGTCTATACAAAATCCATATATAGTATTGCCTATGTTTCCGTCTAAGTCGTGCTTTCATATCTAGTGGCCTCGGGAATGTATCTAGTAGAGTTGGATGAGCTGAACCTCAGTTAGCAGTGCCTCCGTGGATGATGTATCCCTAAAGATAGCTCTGGGGTGGCTTGGGAGGCGTTTCGTATTTGTGACCGATTGGAAAGGACTGAAGATTTGATCTGGAGAAAAGTTAAACCATTGCTTCGAACATTTTCATACTTACATGCTATGAATAGAGAATTTTCTACCTTCTTCAAAATGACTTCGTCCTATTCGCCTGCATACTTATCTAAGATGTATCTTCGTCCGGTCCAAGTCCATTTAGCAGGTGCTTGGCGTTATTTGAGTCTGAATACTGTACATTGTAACGGCGGATCTAGCGGAACTCCACCACCGACAAACCCATGGTCTTAGTATACGTTAGTATAGAACAAAGCAATGAGATGGAAATTGGAAATTGGGAACTGGTAAGATGAACCCGCGACACGGCCAAGTGCGCCGCCCGTGTCGAGGCTAAATTACGCGTGGCCTGCGTGGAGTAAAGTCCCGGAGGTTTACGGAGTTATGATGGGGATGCTGATCATGATCATGATGAAGATCAGCGACAGGCAGAAGTATTCTTCCCCATTTCGTTGCCCATCCTGGACATTTCATAAGCCATATCAATAGAAGCAGAAGAACTCTTCGATTGTGATGATATTATTGATCCTTTCAACTATATGACAGGGAGACGCTTCTAATATTGATATGGCTAGAACGACTTAGGGGAAAGAGAGAATAAGAAAAGGAAAAAGGGGCACTATTACTGACAGCAGATTTGATCAGGAGTAAGTAGGTATTCAGAGGGCGACCCTTTGCATTAAGAGGATCAAAAGACAATTCTCCTGAACATGAAACCGTGATGCTCGTGATAAGGGGTCGAGTTTCCCTTTCAGGCCAGTTGAGCCAAATCCCGCTGTCCGTCTCCATACCTGTCAGCGTCGTTCACCCGTCTTTGGGTACCGAGAACTCTCCGAGAAACCGAGATCGGACTGATGATATGATTGATATGACTCTTGATTGATATGATTGCGAACATTGACCCATCGGCTTGGGGTTTGCCGATGAGTTTGCCGTAGCGGAGGCTACGCTGCTGCCGATCGTCAGATCCAATCCAGGGACTGTGTATGGATCGAGTCAGTCGCCCTGATAATTGGCTCGAGGTTGAGCTTCATTTGACCTGTATTATCTAAGCGGGCGAGAAAAGCCCCGAGGCACCGGAACTACCAAATATCCGCTTCTTTTCTGGGGAAAGTGCGTCGAGTTCACGGCGCACTTGCACAGGGTCCAGTGGGGATGCTAGGGTTACGATCCCAACTCGGTTCTCGAATGGGAATGACGAATTCGGCCCCATCCGCTGCGTGCTGATTACAAACACAAGACAAATTACCCTGAAAAGCTCCACCAAATATTCACCTGTCAGGCAACCTTACCCTCGTCGGTGAATAAAACACAGGTTCATCTATCCATATGTTCGAATTACACACGGCGAACAGACTACGCAGAGGAGGAATGGAGAAGGAATAAATGAATAATAAACCTGAAATCCTTTGTTTATGCTTTATCCTGGTTTGGTAAACGAAGTCAAGAACAGGGGAGTGAGGAATCTCCCAGTCCCATGGGCTCAATGATCCGCGGCTATTGTCCGGCTTGCATGTCTTGGCGCTACAAAGAGAAAACCATTTGCATCGTCAATTGACCAAACTTGGTTCGGATCGGCGTGGTCCTTGACCAGATAGATATCTGGCGGGAACTGACGAAACCGTCTAAGCCACTTTATTGCCAAGCGAATGACTTCGACTTTCTTATTTCTGCAACGCGTTTGGCCAGTTAATAATCTGCTAGACTCAACTGATTGCTCGGTGCCATCTTACCAGGGATCGGCAAGCCGAAAAGTACGCTATTGCACCCAATCTGTAAAGAAGACTTCTCCAAACTCCAAAGTAGAACGGACCCATCTTTAGCTTTGGTAACTCCAACCATGACGATTGGAACCATCGGAAAATATAATCTAAGTTCAATGGATCTGGTCCGTCGCTAGAATATCGGAGTAAATGAGCCCAACCCCTGGCCATCAGGTTCGACGGAGGAATTCTTCTGGTTGGGTACAAGATTGACACGATCCCCTTGGCCGCTGAACGTCGCTCTTCCGCTGTCAAAGCTTGTTGGGTGACTTCGATCCAGGATGATGTTTCTGATTTCACCTGCAGTGACAGTTGCGGCTGCACTTCTGCTGATCAACGGCGCAGAAGCAACTCAATCTGACCGAAGTCGGGCTGCCGCTCACTTTTCCAAACGTCATCCTACGTACCGTGCTGCGACCAGAGCTCAGTCTAGCAACACTTCCGACTACCGATTCTTCAATAATAGAACCAAGCGTATGTATTACACCAGCCATGAACTTTATTCGTCGCTGACATATGGTCATCCCCTGGATAGCCCACTTGGTGGAAAGCTTACCCGATGTGCACTTCGATGTTGGGGAGATGTACTCGGGGTCGATCCCTATCGATGACAGCAACAATGGATCTCGATCCCTGTTTTATATCTTCCAACCCAAGATAGGCGAACCTTCAGACGACCTTACCATTTACCTCAATGGAGGGCCAGGCTGTTCCTCCGAACAGGGATTCTTCCAGGAAAATGGCAGATTCACATGGCAACCTGGTACCTATGCACCCGTCATCAACGAATATTCTTGGGTCAACTTGACGAACATGCTATGGTACGCTTCTTCCTGAGGATTAAATCGGAGGCATGCACTCTGTATATTTTATGAGACTAATGTGAATTAATTCAGGGTTGACCAACCAGTTGGGACCGGATTTTCCGTTGGAAATGTTACAGCCACCAACGAAGAAGAGATTGCCGCTGATTTTCTCGACTTCTTTGAAAAGTTTGAAGATA